CAAGTCTGCATCTTGTACAGCAATTAACCACTAAGAAGAATATATGCAGTGTGTTAGTTATTGAAACTGTACTACCGATTTGATTTGGAACTGTCTCATTGCTAACTGTTTATCAATAAAATTTTGAAAAAATAAAAAATAAAAGTGTTAGGGCTGGGAATACAGCTCCCTGGCATAGCGCCTGCCTGGCAAGCATGAGGCCCTGAGTTCACTTCCCAATGCCAGAAAAAGAAAACAATTAAAAACATCATGGCACAGTGGTAAACGCATACCCCTGTTCACAGTGTCACACTTTGTAATAGTTAAATCTTGGAAACAGCCCCAATACCCATAACTGATAAACAGATAAAGAAGATGTGGGGTTTCTTTTCTTTTCTTTTTTTTCTTTAATGTATTTGCTTGTTACAGGGTCTCACTATGCCACTCAGACTCAGTGATCCTCCTGTTTTTCAGCCTCCCCAGCACTGGGATTACAGGATTATGCCACTATGCCACAAGGGCGGGGCTGGCACAGCATGTGGAGCCAGGGATCAAACTGTGGTTCCTGTGCTTGCCTAAGCTTGCCTAAACAGGCACTTGAGTCTGCTGAGCTATCTCGCCAGCCGGAGGTTTCTTCTCACATACTGGAGTACCACAATGCTATAAAAAAAATAAGCTTGTGACATTTCTAGCTAAGTAGATGCACCTCGAGACTATAATCCTAAGCAAAATAAATCAGACACATATGTTGAAATATCACCTGATTTCTCTCGTGTGAGAAATTGAAAGTGTAAACAAAAACCAAAATGTATAATAGATATTGGGAAATGAGAAGAAAATCTCCCAATAAGAAGGCGGTCTAGAGGTGGGGAGAAGGGACAAGAATAAAAAGAGAACAGAAGAAAAAAAATGGAAACAAGGTTTTCGTAAATAAGGACGGGGAGAGGGATTGAAGGGAGGGGAGGGGAATGGCAAAAAGATGCAGCAGGATACATCATGTACAGGTACGAATTCCTTACGATGAAGGTTATCACTATGTATATCTAAAATGTACCAATAAAATTTTCTAATTCTTATACCTAAACATATTAGAAAATGTATAATTTAGGGGAAACAAAGACAAGACAAACATCCTAAATGTCAATACTACACAGGATGAATAAATCAATTTTATGAATCATCAAACTGTATACAGTCTAATATGATTTTTTCTTATATTTATTTATTTTTTTCTTATATATTGTTATTTATTTTTTTCTTATATTTATATATTTATTAATATGCATTTAGTACAGGGTCTCACTATGCTGACCGGGAGTGGAAGCACACACCTGCAATCCCAGCGCTGGGCAAAGGATCACTATGAGTCTGAGCTGTGTAGTGAGACCTTGTACCAAATACATAAAACAAAACAAACAAACAGAAACAGAGGAATTACAGAAAGAAGGCAGTGAGGGCTGGGCAGATAGCTCAACAGACTGAAGCTCCTGTTTAAGCAGGCAGGCGCAGGGACCAGGGTTCTATGCCCTGCGTGCCCCACCAGACCCACCCCCAGGGCGTGCTGAGACAGTGACTGAAGCTGGGTGTGGTGATACGTGCCTATAACCCAGCACTTGGGAGGCTGAAAAACAGAAGAAGGATCATTATGAGTCCGATCTGGGTGGGGAGACCCTGTAGACTCTGTACTCAATACATAAAAAGGGGGTCGGGAGAAATAGACAGTGAAATCTGAGATCTTTACTAGTATGACAAGTTTTAAGTTCAAAAATCTAAAATATTAGCTTTCTTAGAAATTTTAGTTCTAGAAGTATAATCCTAACTATATAAAACAATTTCATAAAGAAATATACATAAAGCTGCTTATTGCAGTCTTTTCTTAGGGTGGGGTGTTTGGTTGGTTGGTTAATTTCTTTTCTTTTTTGAGACAGGTCTTGCTATGTAGTTCAGACTAGCCCTTAACTCTGGGTTCCAGGCACACCCTCAAATTGAAAGCTATCTTCCTGCCTCAGCCTCCAAAATGCTGGAATTTCAGGCATCCGCCACAGCACGTGGCTCTATTATGACTTTATTGGAGATGTTTTTAAAAGAAATTTAAAGATCTAAAAATGGGAATTGGTTAAATCAATTGTGATAGTTATATAAGAGAAACCATTAATTTATGACTATCGATGGAGATATAGCTTAGCAGCATATGTACCTGCCTGGCAAGTGCAAGGTCCTGAGTTCCATCCCCAGCACCACACACACACACACACACACACACACACACACACACACACTATGCATACTTTGGGGAGGTGTCTATCTCTCCCCCAGTTGTGAGGTATCTTGTCCTCCACATTGGCTCCTTGAGGGCCTCGCTGTCTAACTGCCTATAATATTTCTATCTAAATTATATTTTGTACCTAATCACTACCTGCAAGTAAATGTTTAGTGATCTTTCTAAGTAACCTGGATCTGTTTGGTGATTATACCATTTTGTAATTCAACTGGTTCAAAAGGAAAATAAAATAGAATAGGAACGCCCCTCTCTGCAAGTTGAAACTCATAGACCTTTCTCTGAAAACTAACATTTGTTTTCAGCAGCCTCTTAACAGTCACGTTCTGTGACTATATGAAGGCAGGTAGAAACCTGTGTTTAGCCATTTGTACAATTAATCATTATAATGGAAACATTAAATTTGGAAAAAAAAAAAACCACACAAAGGAGAAAGTAAAATCTGAGGTATGCAAATAAAATGCTGTGGAAAGTCATGTGTGTGCGTGTGTACTGTTGAGATCAAACCCAGGGGTACTTTACCACTGAGCTACATCCACAGCCCCTTTTTTTATTTTTCAACAAGTTCTCGCTAAGTTGCCCAGGCGGGACTTGGACCTGCAGCTCTGCTTCCGTCTCCCACAGTGCTGGGTCACAGGCACACACTGCTGTGCCTGGCTTGCAGCTTGCTTCTAGGCAGAAGTCAGAGGCAGGCAAAACATGATACGGTTTGGCCTGTGCTCTGAAAGACTAGGATGAATCTAAAAGGGTGAACATGCCAGGAGAGGCGCAACCTCAGGACGGGACAGCAAACCACCTAACGGACAGACCAGAGCAAGAAAGGACAGAAGCACATGGCGATCAGAGCGCATCCCAGCCACAGCAGAGAGAGCAGTGGGGGAGGGGACTTTGGAACTAACTTGAGGGTGCAAGTCCCAAAAAAGATTAAAATGCAGTTAGGAGCCAGGTGATGACCCTGAACACCAGACTAAAGACCACTCTCAATTTGTAGGGAACCAGGAACAGCTAAAGGTTCTGTCAGGAAAAAGGTGTGCTCGGATCTGTAATTTGGTAACCAGCAACAAAGTGAAGATGGAATCAGAAAGGGTGATACTGCAATGTGGCAGCGATATTAAGAAGCTACTACACTCACTTAAACAGGGAGAAATACAGGACTACTGTGGGCTTAGAAGTTGAGCGAGGCACCACACAGCTTGGAGTCACAGGCAGCAGGGAGGATGGAGCCCAAGATGACTGTGACGTTACTTTACAATGTATAATAATAAATAAGTTGTTAGATCAAAAGATACGTTCTACACATTTTGCAAGAGAGTAAGTTACCTGGATAGAAGTTCTCCTTTGCTACCCAAGCTTGGCCATCGATATTCCGCAGGTACTTGGAGGGCGTCTTGGGGAACCTCTGAAACGATTTCTGCATGTATTTCTCCCGGATACAGAGTGCCCGGTACAGTCCTGTACAAACCACCTCGAAATCTTCAACTGTTACCTGCCGAGAAAATGTCCGAATGCCAAAGTCAGCCCTGGGCAAATCCGAAGAGGATGCTTCCTTGTGGCACCTCCAGCGAGGCCCCTGCCTCCCGGGCTACTTCCTTGGGGACGCAGGCCCCAGCCTCGCTCCAGGAGCAGGTCATGTGCTTTTCTAGTTCTTTCCTCTCTACTGTGATCACCTCCCTAGGTGAGTCATTCCCTAGGCTCCTGCATTTCTTTCTGTTCGTTGCAGTACTGGGGAAGCAAAGCCAGGGCTTTGCTCCTGCTTGCGAGCGCTCTACCACTGAGATGTGCCCCTGGGCCTTCTGTTGTGTTTTTGGGTTTTGCTACAGAGCAGTGGGCAAATACGATTTAAAGAACTTATTCTAACGTGGTATATACCAGTGACGGTGAACCATTTTAGAGCTGTCAATGCTCCAAACAGCGCCCTGCAGCATGGACCACTGGTGTGGTTTCTTTCTTCTATGTAACAGTTAGACATACTTTGGGGGGAGGGGTTGAGACAATATCTCACTATATAGTGCAGGCTGGCCTTGAATTCTCAGTGATCCTCCTGCCTCAGCCTCCTGAGTGCTAGACTTATAGGCATGTGTCACCACACCCAGCATAATAGTTGGACATTTAAAGAAAAGACTTCTGAAAACAGTCTTAACTGAATGATAGTGTGACAGTGTGATTGTAATTATGAAAATTCAAGCCATTATTGGTCAATGAGGGAAATATTTTGGGATGAATACAGTATCCCTCAGACTCATTCATTCACTGCCTGTGAAAACTCTGCATATTTCTGAACGTCACCCATGCAAAGTTGTGTGTGTGTGTGTGTGTGTGTGTGTGTGTCTTATAACAGGACTGTGGACTGCACCCAGGGCTATCACCGAGATATATCCCAAGCCCCCTTCTTATTTTATTGTGATTCAAAGTCTTCCTAATTGCCCCGGCTGGCCTTGGGCTCGACACCCTCCTTCTTCAGCCTCCCAAATGGCTAGGATTAGAGGTGTGCACCACCATGACCAGCTTTTGGATGGGTGTTGTTTTTTGTCTTTTTTGAAACAGGGTCTTGCTATGCAGTTGAGATTGGCCTTGTAGCCAAGGCTGGTCTTGAACTCACAATGATCCTCCTGCCTCAGGCTCCCATTTTGGATGATTTTAAAAGGGAACTTTAGGGCTGGGAATGTGGCTCAGTGGTCGAGTCCTTGCCTTATAGGCACAAGGCTTTGAGTTCAATTCCCACCACCACCAAAAAAAAGGGAACTTTAGCTAAAAATAGAATAGAGAGGTTCTAGAGTAAAGTTTGAAGGGCTGGCCAAATAGCTCAGCAGATTAAAGCACCTTCAAGCAGGCACAGGGACCGGGGTTTGATCCCCTGGCCAGCTATGCTGGCTGCTGGCCTCGCCCCCAGGGTGGGCTGACACTGTGATTGAGACTGGGCGTGGTGGAGTGTGCCTGTAATCCCAGCTCTTGGGAGGCTGTAAACAGGTGGATCACTATGAGTTCGATCTAGTAGTGAGACCCTGAACACCCTGTAGACCCTTCCTTAAAAATACACAAACACACACACACACACACACACACACACACACACACACACAAAGCAAAGTTTGATTGGAACTGCTAGAAATTTCCTAAACTGGGCTATCTCTCTTGCCCTCCATTCCCAACTCCTGGCTGGATCAGACCTGCCCAAGCAGTTGCACTCTGAAGTCACTGAACACTCTGTCACAGCACTTTTTCTCTAGGGTCAGCTTACATGTGGTGAGCAGGCTGTGTCCTACTCAGTTACGCCATGACAGATAGTAGCTCGCAGGCGCTGCCTTGCCCTGAGTGACTCCATTTTGCAAAGCTGCAGTTTGCTCGGTCTGAGTCCAAGCGTAAGGCAGAGAGAGACTCACTAACTCGTCTGCGCAAATAGAAAGCCACCAGATGTCGGGCATGAAGACCTCATTAAGAGCAGCTCCAGGTGCCCAGCCAATCATGAAGACATAAGTGATAAATTAATCGTGCTAATAAAAAGCACCACCTATTCACTTACTGTGTTAAATTGGGGGCATAAGGACACTTGAGGTGCCAAAGCTACATCAGAGAAGCAGGTTTGAGAGTTTATATGCCACATCTGATCAAGGATTGGTGCAACCTTCTCGTCTGAACATTATAAAGGGAGGGGACAGCCAATAGTGGGCACTGCTACACACATCAGCCTATCATCTCATCTTTTTAAAAATTTTATTTTATTGTGAGATATTATCTCACTGTGTAGTTTAGGCTGGCCTTGCCCTCACTGTGTAGCCCAGGTAGGGCTCAAACATTCGATGATGCTCCTGCTTCAGCCTCTCAAGTGCTGGTGTGACAGGCGTGCATCACCACACCTGGTGCCAGCCCATCATCTTATGAGACCACTTGGCTGCCCTGAACTGTCCTTCAGGGTCAGCTCAGCAGGATCTCCCTGGTTGGCATGGCCAACTGGAACTGCCTGTGGTAGAGGTGGGCTTTGAACACGTTCTGTACTTCCACAAGCTCCAGCTGTTGGACAAGCTCAGCCCAGGTTCTTAATGCATATATATATATATATATATATATATATATTTTACTCTAAATAGACCTTTATTGACAGCTTGTGTTTAGATTGAAAGGCTGAGTGTCTGAGCACAGGGCAGAGGGGCTCAGTAGGCCACCTGAGTAGCTGCCACAGCGCATGGAGCCCTCATTTTTTTGCGGTAGCCACCATTCTGGTCTCAAAGTAGCCGCCACAGCTGCCCTGCTTGGGGTCAGACACCCGCACCTTATTCTCTGCCCGCTGCCCCGTTTCTTGGCCAGCTGCAGAGCTAGGTTCTGCAGGGCAGTGGGCTCGGTGCCCTTCCACCTCCAGGTCAACCTGGAATTGCTGGAACGCGTCTGTCCGGAGGAGTCGGCGGCTGCGCTCTTGGAGATCCCCTACCTGGCCGCCCACCACAGCGAGGCAGCCAGCGAGGCCCGCAGACACATGATCAGCAAGCAGTTCCACCGCCAGCTGCGGGTGGGCGGGCGACAGCCTGTGCTAAGTCAATGAGGGAACACGTGCTTGTGGCCTGCAAGGCCGTGAAGATGGGAGACTGGAAGAACTGCCACGGTTTCATCATTAATGAGAAGGTGAATGGATAAGTTTGGGATCTTTTCTCTGAGACTGACGAAGTCCGCACCGTGCTGGTTAGGCAGATCCAGGAGGAGTCCTGCGGGCCTGCCTGTTCACCTACAGCCGCGTCGCCGACTCCGTCAGCGTGGAGACGCTGGCGGACCTGTTTGAGCTGGATTTGCCCACAATGCACTCCATCATCAGCAAGATGATCGGTAACCAGGTTTCTAATCTTCTCTGGTTATCTGAGGTGGCTCTTTGACATCTGTTAGTTTTCTGTCTTTGCTTTAAATTCTGCTTCTTTAAATTCTGAGGCAAGCCTCAATTAAACCTCTCATCTTTTTTTTTTTGTTTGTTTGTTTTTGTTTGTTTGTTTGTTTGTTTGTTTAATGCATTTGGTACAGGGTCTCAACGTGCAGCTCGGACTCTTAGTGATCCTCCTGTTTTCAGCCTCCCCAATTCTGGGATTATGAGTGTACGCCATCATACCTGGTCTCTCTCAGCATTTCATTTATTTTATTTTATTGTGTGATACTGATGATTGAATGCAGGAATGCTCTACCACTAAACTACACACCCAGTATTTTTTTTTTTTTGAGATAGAGTCCCATTGCATTATCCAGGCTTTCCTTGAACTCATGATCTTCCTGCCTCTGCCTCCAGAATAGCTGCTGAGATTATAAGTGTGTACTACTAGAGCTCCTAGCCACTCTGTAATCTATGTCATTGTGTGCTGTGTGACTTGGGTGTTATAAATATTAGTAATTAAGATTGGAATAGTCTGGACTGGTGGCATAAGCACTTTCCTGGCAAGTGCAAGGCTCTGAGTTCAATTCCTGGTTAGAAAGAAAGAAAGAAAGAAAGAAAGAAAGAAAGAAAGAAAGAAAGAAAGAAAAAAAAGATTGGAATGGTCTAGAAGAACCTGAGATTGGCTCAGTCTTGACTTTGTCAAGAAATCTAGAGAAGGGCCGGGGAGATGGCTCAGTGGAATAAGTGCTTCCCTGGCAAGCACAAGGGCCTGAGTTCAATCCCCAGTTCTGCCAAAAAAAAAAAAAAAAGAAAGAAAGAAAGAAACTAGAGAGCTGAGCGTATGGTACTATTCTTGTGCCTGTAATCCCAGCACTTGGGAAGCTAGGCAGAAGGGTTGTCATGAGTTCAAAACCAGCATGAGTTACATATTGAGTTCAAGATCAGTCTGAACTGTATAGACATCTAGAGTCCCCAGTGCTCAGTTAACTAAAAATGATAAAACTATAGAGACACCAATATCCAGGCTGAATTAATGGCTCAATAAGCTTGCTCTCGGTGGATTAGGATACAGAAATTGATCCTAATTAACTTAATTGTTGCCCTAGAGAACTGAGGATTGAATCCAGGCGTTTACACTGAGCTATATCTTTACTATTTAAACACAAAACAGGATCTTCTAGTCACTAAAACTGCCCAGCTGCTTCAGTCCCCCAGCACACTGGGATTCTAGGTATGGGCCTAGCTAGTTGAAGTGTTCGTGTAAGGCCTGCTGACCTTGGCTGATGGAATCTGTCAGGTGCTAGGTCTGTGGCGTGCTTGTTCCAGTGCAGCCTATTAGGCCACCAGTCTGTCAGCTACGTAGAGCAGTAGCTGGGTCTGGTTCACCTTTCCAGCCTCAGCACTCAGTACCCAGTACCGAGTGTGGACAGCATGATTAAGTTGAATCAGTTGCTTATCAGGGATTAAAAGCATTGGGTCTTCAACCTTGATTTTCCCTTCGCCACTCTGCCCACATGCCATGCCCACATGGGGCGCAGACTGGTTTGGGTAGCAGACTGGTTTGGGTAGCAACCCGAGCCAGCTGGAGGGCTGCCCCGCGCCTGTCTGCTTCACTCCCCAGCAGCTACAGCAACCTCCCTGCGCTACAAGGCTCTAGGCCACCATTGCATTCCCCTCCGATTCTTAAAGGAAAGCAGCTACTCCTGAGGTCTGTGTACCTTGTCCTGCACTTTTTTCCTTTTGTTTTTGTTTTTGTTTTTGCTTTTGTTTTCAACACTGGCTAAGTTTTACATTTAGTAAAGGTAGAAAGAAAGCCAGAAGGGTAGGGAAAAAACAATAGGCCCTACAGAGTGAGCTTGGGCCAAGTGAAAATAGGAAAAAGGGAGGAAATATAACAATAAAAATACACTGTACAAGTTAGGATGGGTTACCATGAAGAGAAATGACAACCCATTTTCTTTCTTGTCCCTATTTTCATCTCTAGATACATAGGTATCAAGTTTGTCCCTGAACTTCTAAATCCTTTGGAACGCTGGTGTTCTACAAATTGTTTCTCATGTATTTACCACTATTAAAAATTTCCTTTAAATGGTTTAGTATTTAAAACTGTCACTTACAGCCAGCCAGATAGCTCAGCGGACTAAGGCGCCTGTTTAGGCACAGCATGCAGCAGCCAGGGTTTGATCCCTGGGGCATGCCGAGCCCGCAAATGAGACTGGGTGTGGTGGCGCGGGCCTGTAATCCCAGCTCCTGGGAGGCTGTAAACAGGCGGATGACTATGAGTCTGATCTATGTAGTGAGACCCTATATACCTTGTAGATCGTGTACACCCTGTAGACCCTGTCCTAAATTCATATTAAAAAACCCTGTCATTTAAAAAACCCACCATTTGCAGAGCACCCATATTATTATTTAAAAAATAAAAATCAACAAGAATGGTTAGCATTTCATTGCTCTGGCACTTATAAATATCCCAAGACTTACTCTCATTAGGTCAGTTACATGAGAACAGGGTTCAGCACTAGTCATTAAATCTATTTTTGGAGTAGAGACTGAGCACTACAGAACAGTTTCACTACCATCACGCTGATACTGCAAGTATATGTGGCAGAGATTTATTAATTGAACAACTGTTCTGGATAGGACACGCTGGTCAGGCTGTTCGTAACATGAGTTCACTATCCCTGCAATACACTAGAGTCTGTTCTAACAGTAATATTCTGGGTAAGCATCAGCAACAAAATTGGAGAGGTCCTGTGGTGAAATAACAATGCCCCATTAAAGTTTTCTAACCTCTCTGTCTTTTGTTCTCTTTTTTATTCTCTTCTACCTTTCTTCTACATCTCATTTCTTTGGCTTATGCTTGTTGCCCTTCTCTCTGTTCTAGGTCTCCCTGGGGTCCATCTTTCCCCGAGAACCCCTGTCCCCCCTACCCTAATGGCATTTCTCTGATGCCATCAAGTAGACTGTTTAGTCCTGTTGCCAAAATCCACTGGTGCATTCTGGAGAATGTGCATTGTATTCTACACATCCTCCATGAAAACAAGGAGAAGTTGGGATGACAAAAGCAATACAGAAGTATAAGATACTTCTAATACACACTCTATTTGTATTAGAATGCAACAATGAAGTTTAACAGGCACAAGTGAGGGAAGAAGGAAAAAGCTAGACATGTCAAGCTGAGCGCCACAGTAGCTATGTCTGAGACAAGGACAACTTACCCCAGAGGCATAGTCCCCAGTGATCTGAACTCTCTGAAAATCAGGCACAGTCTCGTAGGTTGGAGATGAAGAAATGCATTCATCAATATGGGACAGTTTGGTAGAAGATGTTTCACTTAGTGGAATTGACAGATTCACAGTCTTCCGCCCTTGAAAACGCCTTTTTCTGGGTTTGAAGTTAAAAAGTAAGAGCTCTTAGCTTGGTCTAAGTTGGGGGCTTCATTATAATAGAAGGATGTTTCACCATATCATTTTATTTTGAGGACAAAAAGTGAAACACTACAATGTGAGTTGGTTATTAGAAACAGGATACAAGCATAGAGGGAAAAGAAGTATATCACTGAAGACACTGTCAGGGTTCATCCTTCTATGTATAGCTTAGAATAGTGGACCTTAGGGAACATACTAGAATGTATTTAGCATGCCCCCATCCTTCCCAGGCAATTCACTCCCAGCAAAATAGGTATCTGGAGACTATAAGGAGCACAAGTGGCATCAGCTACCACCTGTGTTGTTCTGTCATAGTCCTTAAATTTTGAGCTTTCATCTCCCTATCTGAAAAAAAAAAAAAGGCTTACTAACAGCTACCTCATAAGATTCTGTGAGATTTCATACATGGAAAATGCCTGGCATAGGATGGAGCTCATCAGTTGCTTAATCAATATTATTTCTTCAAATCAGTAAGTATTTATTGGGCTTCTACTTTGACATATGGCCTAAGTTAGGTCTCTAAGGGGATGCCAGAGGAAATAGTCTATTGGGGTTTTTTGGTTTGTTTGTTTGGGTTTTTTTTAGGAGTAGGAAAGGTTTATTGACAGTTCCAGAGCTTCTCTTCTGGAGGGTTAACAACCTAAGTTTGCAGACAAAAAATTAGAGAAAAAGAAGGGATGCAAGGACAGCCTACATTTTAGACCTAGCTTTTCAAGGTCAGTGAAAAAAAATTTTAAAAAAACAACGAAAAACAAGGGGCCGGGGAGATGGCTCAGTAGAATAAGCACTTGCCTGGCAAGCACAAGGGTCTGAGTTCAATCCCCAGTACTGCAAAAAAAAAAAAAAAAAAAAAAAAAAACAATCAAGATCAGTGAAGACTCAGGACATAGGAGAACTATATACTGTAATATCATGTGACCAAATTTTCTGATCAAGGAGATTATGGGGCCACAGAGGAAAGTGATCAATGATGTAGAGTGTGCCTAAGGAGAGTCACATGGAGAGAAAACATTCTCTCAGGCTTTCACAGAGAGCACATTGGTCAAGCAATGGCCATGACTCATCCACATGGCTGACACTGACAAAGGATCTATGAACTGCGGTACAGGGCTTCAGGATAAATCTTGAGGGGATCTGACTGACCTTATCAGATACAAAAGTTACATTTCTTGTTATATAGGTCTTGCTTTATCTTGGTCTTAACCATCCAGAAGAAAAGTATAAAAATGAAGTATAAAAAGTAAAGCCATATTAATATACTGAGCTATAAAAGGCTCAAGTCAGCAACTTCTGACACTGCCAGTCTTACGGAAAACCCACTACTATTATGGACTACTGGACTATATTGGAATATTTTGCTGAATTCATGCACCTACAATATTTAAATGACAATGGAATACCCTTCTCTGACAAAACTAAACAAAAAAGTGGGATACAAATGAACAACCATTTTGTATCTGTATATTCAAAATAGAATAGATATATAGCTACATTCTCTTAATTCAATGAATAGAGAGATTTGCTCTAATAGTGTTTGTGGCCAGGATATCATGCCTGCATCTTGTACAATGAATAACCACTAAGACAACAATATGCAATGTATTAATTATTGGAACTGTGCTAGTAATCAGTTTTGAAACTGTCTCATTGCTATTTGTTTCTCAATAAAATTATTTAAAAAAATAAATGTAGAAAATGAAAAAAAAAAAAAAAAGCAAGCTCCAGAGAGGTAATTTATTGTTGTTTCTCTGGTGATAAAAAGCAGGCTGTGGCTGGTGGGGTGGGGAAGGCTGGCTGAAAGGAACTCCAGATTAGTAGTTTAAGTCTGAGGAGTAAAGTATGCCTAGTAGTGACAGGGAATCCTAGAGTGGTTCAAATAAAGGGATACAGACTTGGTTCAGAGGGCTCTCTGAAGGTTACTTGGGGGAAGGGAGCTTCATGGGCAGGGCATCAGGGCAGAAACAAAGAGCTGCTCCTCTGAGGTGAGAAGCCTTCAGACTGTGGTTGGAAGACAGCGTTCATGAAAGCGGACACAACACTAGGTTTGGCTACAAGCGGAGTCTAAGGATGAAAGATCTCGAATTCTAGTTTGCATGACAACTGTGCGCTAGTGGAGCATGTTCACAGCAACTATCAGCCCACTTTGGTTTGGAACCATTGCATAGGTAGCACAAGAGTAGGGTACAGAGAGAGAGTGGCTTTAACTTGGGGAGCTGTGGATGGCGGTAGGAGGCTCCTCGCTTTTCCCTTTCTATTGCCAGTTTCTTACTCTAAAGTACACAACGGGGATAGAAAAGAATTTCTAAACCTGGCAGAGTTCTTCCTTTGGATTTGACCATCACTCAGAGAGACTGAAACATGTCTGTCCCGACATTTCTCCCCTCCTGTGCACTAACATACTCAGAATTCTCCTTAAGCCACTTACCTCCGGCCATCGGTGGAAGTAGAGAGAATCTCCTTGTGGAATATATGTGCTTGCATCTCGTGAAAAGAAATTGGACAGATCTCATCCACATCAAAAGGGGAAATTTCATGCCGGCCTCCCTCATCTTTGACTTCAGAGGCAAACACTCGTTCAGCAAAGCTACGCATTGCATCGTCAACTTCTAAAAGAAGTTTTCACATATTAGCTTTCAAGCCCTTTTCTAAAACTCATCTGAGCTTCTTCTGGGTGTCAGGCACAAGGGTGAGCACTGTAGTGGGTACATAACTGCTCTGCTCTCCACCCAGTCTCGCTGAAACACTGGAGCTTGGTGCCTGCATTTATGTGAGTGGATTTTCTGCATGAAGTTTTCAAATCTACATTTTGAAACATGAGTTGTCTTGGCACATTTCTGGTGGGTTCTAGAAGTTTGGGCTCTCACAGAACTTGGTGTAATACTTAGTGTAAGATCATCTGGTTCTGGTAATCTTTCAGATGTTTCGGGTAGTTATTGGTCCTTGGAATTTTTGCTTTTGTTTTTTCCTAAGGAGAACCAGTGACTCCAGTGGTCACTGGGAAATCAGTACCTTTGAGAAACAAATGTGTCCTCTAGGGCCTTTCTTCTTCTGAGACAGTGTTTCTCTCACATCTCAAACCTCACTTTATTCAAATCCTAACAACCTGATGATAGTATACTGTTTTGTGGAGGAAGGAAGCCACTAAAATTTATTATGATGCGTTAGGATTCCCACTTCTTGCGGACGTGGGCCTCCACTAATGAATGACCATTGGAAGACCAGTTTACATGACTTAATTTTCCCATTCTTCTTCTTCCTCTCCTCATTTCTCTTTTAACAGTCTCAGTTGCCCAGGCTGGCCTCATATTCCTGGTGATCCTCTTGCTTCAGTCTATTTTTTCATTTATTTATTTATTTATTTTTTTAAGACAGGGTCTAGCTATACAGCTCAGGCTGGCCTTGGGCTCACTGTGTTGCCCAGGCTGGTCATGAACTCAAAACGATCCTCCTGCCCCAGCCTCCTGAGCGCTGGATTAGGGGTGTGTCCTACCACACCTGACCATTTCCCCCACTTTTAAAATAGCATGGGGTTCGCTCTTAGTCTGGCAATGTCCAAGACCCTCAGGATATCAGAGAACCAGTCTCATCATACAGGCAGTGAAGGTCCTCGAGTATCTGCTTTCTGTAAAGTTCCACTATGTTTACAGCTGAGTAGTCATCACCTCTAATCCTTCTTAAGGCCTCCTGATATTTCTGGGCAAGGGCTGGTAAGCAATAATGAACATGGCAAATAGTTAATCTATTTGGGGGCAATAACAGGAGACAGAAACAGTACCCCACAGGGTGACAGAGCACAGTATGTACAAAGAAAAAAATCCCCACTCCCCATGCCATCAGAGTATCTACAGGCCTCCAAAGTCCACATTTGCCACTCTAACTTAAGCAGGTGTAGGGACTTCAAACCCTGGGGATGCTAAGGCCTACCCAGCCTCACTCACAAGGTTATTGTGATGCTTAGTGAGATGAAGTATGTGGACATGCTTTAAGGCAAATAAAACATCAAATTAAATTGAGTGATGGATTTGGTAGCTGTGGTCAAACGAACATTTTGTACTTGGAGTTAACTTTGAGCCATTAAGGAAATGATAAACAATACAACTCAGTACAGGATGGCGCATGCATCAGAAATGAGAGTGATTCATTTGTGACTTCGCCAACGCTAACAGGTCAGCCAGTTTTAAAATCCTGCCTTGTCACGGCAGAGTTAACAGTAAAGCCCACTACGATCGCCATGCTGCATGCATTTTATTTTATTTTATTTTATTTTTTGCCTTGCTAAACCCAAACACTTCCTCAGACTGGAAAGCACCTATTAGAGCTATTAGCAGCTCTCTAGCAAGCAGTACCATCCACGAAGGAACAAACAGAACAATGAAGAGGTACACTGATGGTTGAGAATACCTCGCAGGCCACTGCCAACTGATCCCCAGAAATAGCACCATTCCTCCCCCAGCACGAGCAGGCACATGCATCTCAAAGCTGAGTGCCAGCAGGAGCTACAAGACGCTGCATGCACCAAGGAGGGCAAAGGGGAATAGGCCAGTTGGTTATGATGATGAAATGAGGATGACAATGCGACAGTCTTGGCATGCTGTGCTGTGGCAGTGCTGCTGCTGACCTCAGACAGGGCAATGCAGGCACAGATCCCCAGAAACCAAGCGCTATTTGCTTGATACCTGGCTCCTCCAGAACAAGCATTCATGTCTGTGACAACTATCCACTGTTTCATAATCTTTGCTTTTGATTTTTTTTTTGTTATTGTTACTGGATTGAACCCAGGGCTTTGTACATGCTAGAGTTAAGCGCTGTACCATTGAGCTACACACTGTTTTGTACTTTTAAACATCATTGTTTTTACTAAGACTGTCTCTCCCTAAACTACCACAGTTGTAAAGCAGAAATTCTACTACATGATGGAAAATTATATGGTTGATATTTCCTTCCACTGAATCAACAACCAGTTACTTGACTTTATGCAACCGCAGCTGAAATTTGATCCTTAATTCAAGAGTTCTGTGCTTTAAAAATACTTCAGGGAATGGTGGTGATTATGGGCAGAGTGAACTTGGTATCTCAAAAGCGGAGTAGATACAATTTAATGACAACCTGAACTCAGGAAGTAGGAATAATCCCCTCAGGGACTGAATAGAAATAACTACATTTTAGACATGTTCTTAGAGATAATGCAACATCTAAGTGGCAGTGTCTCGAGGATAAGACATGTGCAACTGAAGAGAGAAGAGACGAGAGGAAGGAGAAAGGAAGAGAGAGGAGGAAGAGGCAAAGAGGAAGCGGAGGAAGAGGAAGGGGAGTGAAGCAGAAAGGCATTAGGGGTGAGGAAAAGGGAAAAGTAACCATGACAGCTGTGTAGTCTTGGGCAAATGTCATAATCGCTGCGAGTCTCTGTGTTCACCTCCACAAAAGAATGTTAACAATAATAACTCCTCAGAGTTGATGTAAAGATTAAAAAAGAAATGCTTTAAGAGCTACCCAGTAGTATTCAAAAGTTGGGATTTTTAATATAGGAAATGTAAGACTCTTGAGAAAAGGAGTATCATGCTTGCTTCTCACCCACCAGATCCAGAAAGATATGCTTATTTCTCAGCAGTCTTTTCAGTGTGTAAAGAAGAGGCTGTTGGCCTTCCACCTGCTCCATCTCATCCTAGAGAACTCAGGTAGACTACTGTACTATCAGTCAGGACGGGTGTAATTGGAGGTGAAGGGGAACATACAACTGAGGTCATGGTTTTATCTAAAATAAATGCTTACTTTATCTGTCTGTTCACTTTTTTTTTTCCTCCAGAATTGAGGATTGACCAAGGCAGTATTTCCCATTGGTTAATTTATTTCAGAATTTCAAGTAAGTACCTTGTTGAGGTTTTAAGAAACAGTTCGGATTGTTTTGGTTTTAGTTTTTATAATCCAGAAAAGCCATGAATGTTTGCTATGGTATGGGATATCTAGGGCCACTGTTAATCTTTGTTGACTTCCAATTGTATGGTTTAACACTGCTGAAAAATAACCATGTTTCTGAATTAAGAAACAGTATCACTTCTTTGATAATCTAGCAAATGGCAGGAAAAATAGTCCAAGATACTCACGTTTTTCTTCTGCTGCATGAGTAAAATAAAACAAGATACAACATATGAACAATCTTCATAAATCAGGGTGGCTATTCTCCATGTTTCAAAAGACAAGGATGTGGGCTGGCACAGTAAGAGGGGCTGTGGCAGGAATGACTGGGCCTTGCTCCTAGCTCTTCTAGTCTGTGGCCTCTAGAAATTCTAGGGGAGATGGTCATCACACAGCCTCCACTTTATTTTCCTTCCCCCGCTCCACTGTGTGTGTGCGCGTGTGTGTGTGTGTGGTGCTGGGGACTGAACCCATGGTCCCATGCATGCTGAGCGTGAACTGGACCCAGTCACATTCCTACCCCAGAAGGTACTTTTCATAAAAGGTGAATTAAAATTAACTTTCAAAACAGCTCCTCTGAAAACAACACCTAACAAGTACAATGTCATGGAAAATATTGTTGGGGTACATTTATACTCATAAAAGAACTTAAGAGATTAGTTAAGAAAATTAGATTATGCAGCCATTTAAAATATTTAGAATGAGTTTGAAATACTGTGATAAAGTGATTATGTTAAGCCAAAACATTTTCCTGCTTAATTTAGGAGATAAAATTACTTACACGATACAAACACTACTTAGTTTTTAAAAGATCCTTATTTTGCATAGGAAGTTCACAGAAAAGAAAAAACACTAAAATGTTAAGAATGTATAGGATGATGAGACTGTGGTGACTGTATTAGTATTTCTAACTTTTCTAAATTAGTATTACTTTTTATTTTTCAGTGTAATTTTTTATTTCTCATAAAACATGCATTGCTTTCACGATGGAAAATATTTTTTTAAAAATTGCACTGTGTATTAACCTGGATTGTGAATCATTAGAATATACCCGTTGGGTTAAAATTGAAATCTGTCATGTTCACAGTTTTCCACTAATATTACAGCTAGAGATATAGTACAGGAAGGACCCTTCTCAAAACTGTGACAGCAAAGATTTTATTTACACTAGCATAATAGACATTAAAGGTCGCAGTTTTCTAAGGATCAAAAAAAAGGCAGTTTTAGAAAATATCTTCTTCCCCAAACTAAAGACAAAAACTTGAAAATATCTTCTTTCTGAAATTTAGTAAAGCCACTATGGATCCTAAGCAAAGGATTATCAACACTGACATGATAGAAGGAATGGCTGCTTATGAAAAAACCTGAGCCCTCTACACACTGTTCCACTTACCTGCAAGTTTGAACAGAGGCATTGCGGCTGGGCTCCTTGGTGCTAGGCAGCACAGCAGATAGGAGAGCAACACACTGTGGGACGGCTGAGTGGCACTATGAAACGCCCTGACACTCATTTTATTATTTTGCTTTGCCCCCTGTAATCTGACCCATCTCTGCTAAAAGGAGAGATGAGCTTTGGACCTATTTATAGCTTTAGGCAATCGACAGTGAAAAACAGGTGAAGCCCTTTTTTTTTTTTTTAAATCTTTTATTTATGTATTTGGTACAGGGTCTCGCCACACAGCTCCGATTCATAGTGATCCTCCTGTCTCAGCCTCCACAGTCCTGGGACTACAGGTGCATGTCACCATGCCTGGTTTCGGTGGCCCGCACAGGGCGACTGGGTTCCCAGGATTGGTGTGCTGTGCAGTACTGGGGTTCAAACCTGGGTCCTTGTGCTTGCCGCTGAGCTATCTCCCCAGCCCAGGTGAAGCCTTCTGATCTTTATTTTGGGACTTCAGGAAAGAGATCTTTAAGGGGCCAGGAATTACATTTCAATACCTCTACATATTCCTATTGAGTTGATTCTCATCAAGGGCAGTTTTCTTACATGATGTTGATAATTTTTTCATTCTGGGAAATGCAGGGGAGTCCTCCAGGCTTCTGAAAAAGACCCACAGGGTTTCCCAATATGAGAAGAGTTCCTGGTGGCTGGTGAATATGTTGATATATTCATCAAGCTTACAAAACAAACACACATGTGCACATGCAGATCAATGTGTGCACATTCTGACTTGTATGGTTTTAATTTTTGAAAATTTAACAAGGTTTGTCCCAGGAAATGGCATATAGGGAAAAAGAAAGATAAGGATCAGTACAGTAATTGTTGGTAATGAATGGTATAAAGAAAACACAAGGTTCTTGAGGCCTCACACATAGTGGGCAGGGGTCTGCCACTGAGGTACACCCCTTATACCTTTAGCCCAACAAGGTGATTTCTAATGATGAGATGATTTCAGCTATGTATAGCTGAAGACAAGCACTGTCTCTTTTCAGAACTGTTTAGCAATACAGGTCTTAAGTCCTCAGAAGTCTCTTGGATCACCAATGACTCTATCCGTAAAGGGCATTATATACCTTTAAAAAAGTACCTACTCTCGCACCTCTTGCAAAAATAATCTGAGAACCTGGGTGCTGTGGTGTATTCCTGTAATCCTAGTCCTTGAGAGGTGGATGCAGGACGATTGCCTCGAGTTTGAGGCCAGCCTAGGTTACGTAATGAGACTTGGTCTCAAAACAAAATAACCCCACCAAAAGTAATTTAAGAAATTATTCAGTGAACTTCACATAATTACAGGGAAAGCAAAAGTGTCTCAATCTTCTGGCATCATCTTAGTTATTTCATGTGTCTACACCACTGGTGGTCTCCAGAAATCAGATTCTTATACATCTATTTTAGGATCCACGCCTTTCCTCAGAACAGTTAGCTTAGGATGTTGGAACCACTTAGTTGAACATAGAGCTTGAGAAGGTGCATGCCAAGAGACAAAGAGAACAGAAATTAGACCATACTAAGGGTCGATTAAATCATTGTTACACCAGAGATCCACTGTAGTTTTTGAGAATGGACTGGAGCACAGCTGGCCTGTCATACTTATGGGTTCCACACCTGTGGATTCAAACAATGACTTCAGAAGGAGAAAAGCCCTGTAACTGGCCTCCTGGATAATGTCTAGTGTCTCACTGTTGTCCAACAACAGTGGGACTAGTTGAGCCATGTCTTGACTAACAATATAAGATATTCAAACATGGTATTAGCATAATTTGGACCCAATTATTAAACGTCAAACTCTTCATATTTTATAGGCAAAACATGTATAAATTTATGAGACCTTAAAGCTGGGTGTAGTGGCAAGTGCTTGTGACTCTAACATCTAGGAGGCTGAGGCAGATGATTGCCACATAGTGAGTTCAAGACCAGCCTGAACCTTACAATGAGACTTTGCCTCAAACCACCAAAAAAAATTTTAACAAGTTCTCTTAATTTGACTTTTAAGCTATCTTTTATCTTTATACCAGGTATGAAAGTTGTATCAGGCATGTGTGTAAATGTAGAGAACTGAACTATATCAAGGTGTATAAAATAATGTGCAAGTTTCCCTAAATGTACTTCAAGTTCCTAATGAAAATTAGGACCAATCTTATCACTTCCGAACAGCCATTCTGGGAAACTGCTTTACCTCACCTCAATTTGCTTTTTTTTTTTTTTTTTGAGACAGGATCTTGTTATATAGTTCAGGACAGTTTTGAACTATATATCCCAGGTTGGCCTCAAACTTGCAGAAATCCTCGTGCCTCAGCCTCCCAAATGCTGAGATTACATGCATGTGCAACCATACTTGGCTTTTTTTAGAAAGGGTTTCACTACGTAGTTCAGGCTGGCCTCACACTCACAGTGATCTTTCTGTGCCGGGCTCGTGAGGGCTGAGATCACTGACCTGCACCACCACATCCAACAGTATTAGCTTTCTATACAAGGAACTTAGTGGGAGGAAAAACTGTGACTAGGCAAAGTACTTCCAGTTTTTATTTTTAAACATTATTTAACAAGAAAAACATTCAGTCAATTTTTAAAAATTAGGATGGATTAATTTACATTAAAATAATCAACTTAAAATATCAGCCCTTTTCATTTAGGGCCAAGGAGGCTAACAGTTCCCATTTAAACAGCAGAATTGCACAACTGATATTTTTAAGTATACTGGATGGCACAGAAATGTAAGTCATACAACACTCTCTTCTCCCTCCAGAATTGATTTCAAACACTTAGGGCAATACTTGGACCTTTAAAAATCTGTTATATTTTGAAACATATCTAAAACTGATCTGTTAAGCATACTTTTAAAGCAATTCTTACAGAAAACAAATACCTTAAAGTAATTTTGGGGCTCATTAGACTGCTTAAAGAAACTGCAAACATGAAAAAATGTACAAGTATTATAGTCTTTTGTTTATAAAAGTCATTCAAATAAAAGTATTTTCCCAATTATCCTTGCTTCTTATAACATATTAGCAGAGAGGAATTACAAGAAGCAGAATGCACCATTTTTTGGTTCTTGGGTTGTAGCTGCCAGCTCAAGAGTTTAAGACTGTCAATACAAAGCAAACTGATTATGCTCACACATTCGGGAATGGGCCAAAACACCCAAATCTTTTTAAAGTTCTGGTCTATCTTTGTTTTGAAGATATTACAAAAATTCACAGCAGTTCAAAAGATGATGAAAGATCAGACTGGGGATTAAAACAGATTAATTTTACACTCTACAGAACCAAGTGTAACAAGTATGCCATCAAGTCAGCATTCCATAGTAGACTCCTGGAGTAAATACAGCATTTAACAGATTCAGATTAGGCACGGTAGCCTTTAGACATAACATCTTATTTTCACACTCTCCAATGTGCAGCCTGATTAAAAAAAACATACATGCAACCAAATCTTAAAGGAATTAGTAATTTCTAACAGCTGGCCAGGCACTTACACTGGGCAAAGTGAGTTTGAGATTCTGAGGTAAGCCAGATTTTCAGCAACTGCAAATATCCTCTATAAACTACATTTTATGCCACACTGACTGAACTTAACTCAGGTTTTAACACTAAGTTTGTCACTCTGTTGTGCCAAAGTGTAACTTTCAAAGCAACTATTAAAAGAGCATTTTCAACCTTAAATTCTGGCCCCATTTGGATACTTTACTTCTGTGCTTGGGACCTATTTCACAGAATTATAGATACATACATACATACATACATACAAGGGCTAAGGGCACAAGAGCCTAAGGAGTAACTATCTTTGTCTCTAATTTTGCACTGAATTTAGTATGTTTTAGAAATGGTTAGACTGCTAGTCACAAAAGACACTGAAAACCAGTCACACAGAAACTTAAGAATATGAGGTGAAAAACCTCAATCTACCTCAGGAAAATGACCCAGCAACACTCACCAAGGGGCAGCTCAGAGTTTGCATGCGCAGATGTTGGCCCTACTGTGAGTGCTCCCAGCACTAGGAGTGCAGCTTTCTGGGTTATCATTCTCTGGGCATAGTACATGTTTTTCCCTCTTCTGAATTAATTTCAAGATAATGTATAATTTGCATAATGAATGAAAATTCATATTAGGAGATAAAAGAGCTCTAAGTATTTAGATACAAGAATAGAAAGAAGCCATTTTGGAATCAGCCGTTCAGTTACACATTTTTCATTAAAACTACCAGCGTTAAGCAATTCCAGGGTAGCTCAAGGGTAGACTGCTCATCAACAGACCAGTTGTTTAGCACAAGTAAGAGTCTGGGTTTAATCCCCAGGACCACAAAAGAGGGGGGAAAAATTACCACGGCATTATTTGCAAACAGAAATATGATGCCTACACAGCCTCACAATAACCAAATTATTCAATTCAAAGGCTACTTCTTGTTTTGAACAAACTCATCAGCTTTTGTTTTCTGAAATGTAGGCTAATTTTTGAACAACAGTTTACAACCCTTTAGAAAACATTATATTGTTTTTGTCTTTTTGAGACAGGGTCTTGCCATGCAGTTCAGGCTAGCCTTGAGCTCACTTTGTAGCCCTGTCTGGTCTCAAACTCACAACGATCCTCCTGCTTCCACCATAGGCATGTGCCACCATGCCCAGCTAAAAAAACATTGTAAGTAAAGAAAAATTCAAAACAATTTGATCTGAGTCAGGTATGGTGGTATATACTTGTAATACCAGCACTCTCAAGAGGCTGAGGCAGGAGGATCAAAAGTTTGAGCCCAGCCTGAGTAATTTTGTGGGAAGCCCATCTCAAAATATGAAAGGGCTGGGAATATAATTCAGTGCAAAGGCCCTGAGTTCAACCCCCAGTTTTGAAAAACAAATCAAATCAAACAACCAAATAAACTAAGCCAAATACCACAGCTACACACAAAAACACCTCCCCAAAAGCTAAAATTAAAAAAGAAAAAAAAAAAAAAAAAAAGAGATCTGAGCATCCTTATTCTCAAAAGAATGAGAAAATATATAGGCTTAGTTTCCATATGGCTAACAAAAAGAGGAGGAGGTTTCTAAGTACTTTATAGTCTTTTAACCTGAGCCTCCTCAGGAGACCAAGCTTTTCCAGTCCCAGTAAAGCACTCATGCTAACTGACCACTTTTGTCCTTGCAGGGCTAACAGCAGGCATCCAGCAAAACTGGAGATGATGAAATGATGCTAGCTGGCTTATTCAAGTTTTGAAACTGTGACCCCAGTAAAAAGCCCTCTGCTTTACTCAACTAAAACCATCAATCAAGCAGCTCCTGTTGCTCTGGGGTAAGAGGCAGAGTAAACAGAGGAAGGAACTGAGAGCAGTTATATACATCATGAAGAATATGTATGCACAAAAAAATGTAATTTGCTTGTTAATGTATTTGAGACTTGAAAATAACTAATCACAGATGTAAAATAAGCCCATACCCGATTTTTACAATAACTGGAATAACTGCAAATGTAAGCTTTCTGGTGTGATCAAAATTTACCAATAGGCTAGAAGAAATAAATTATATATTTATAGGCAGTAACCTATAAAAAAAAGATATTAGATAAAAATTAAGGGAAATTATTCATACTCATTTCTATTTTTCTTTTCCTGTGGAAAACTCAGAAATAGGCCTCTGGAAAACAATCTTTGTGGACTGGCCAGATAGCTCAGTGGACTAAAGCACCTGCTAAGGCAGACACAGGGACTAGGGTTTGATCCCTGGAGTGCCATGCTGGCCTGGATTGAGACAGGGCATGATGGTGCACACCTGTAATCCCAACACTTGGGAGGCTGAAAACAGGAGGATCACTACAAATCTGATCTGTGTAGTGAAGACCCTGTAGACTCTACTAAATACATTTAAAAAAAAAAAAAAATCTTTGTATGTATAAGAAATGGCACCTGCTATTATATAGGTGTATCTTTCCCTCAAAGATAGACAAGCCATAGATATTTTATATTTAAAGGTTGCGACCTCAATTCCATTTAAGTACTATAAAGGAAATCTACAAACCACTTCTAGAAAAAAGGCACTTTGTCGTCAAACTTGGATTTAACTTCATGAGAGTTGAGGCGACCAGGATAGACTCAAAAGTCAGTGTTCACTCTTGTATTTACCATTTTTCTTTTCAGTAGTTGGACTGAACTGAGGAGCGGTCTAATACTAAGCTACCCTAGCCAATTTATTCATTTTTTTTTTTTAGATGGAGTCTCACCAAATTATCCAGGCTGCCTTTGAACTTGTGATCTTTCTGCCTCAGCCTCCCAAATGGTATGTGAATGAAGCCACAATATCTGGCTTCATTTTTGTACTTATGAATACAGAGCAGATACCAGTTTATAGAATATAGCTGATAACACTGTAAACTAAACATTCAGCAACATAATTATATATTTGGCAAAACAGTATTTTATGACATTTCTCCAAAATCTAACATGGGCCCCAAGTTCAAAAATAAAAAGGAAAATAAAAGTCACCAGCAGTTGCTACTTTAGAACCCGAGAAATTTTTTAACAGACTTTCAGTCCAAAGTCTGGTTCTGTTTCAGAGCATGAGCTGCTTTTTGGATGAAAAACCAGGGTGGCAGAGGTGTTTTTGTTGGGGACAGCCCAGGGCAGAGAAGTACGGGGGAATTAGCAAGAGGTGCATTTCTCTGGTCAGACAACCAAGTGAGGAGGTAGTTATTCTGAGTCCCCAAACGGAGACTGTGCTCAGATACTGAGAGGCGGGGAAACAGCAGGATCCTCTCTGAGATGAAGGGAGCAACAGGGACAGTTCTCCTCCAGGGAAGTCAGGACCAGCATATCAGTGCAGCTGAAATAAAGATGGGATGTGTGTGAGTCACACAGAGTATGAGACAAACTAGTTTAAGAACTCTTATTTGACAATGACAGTGTATTTTCAGATCTGTCCTACCTTGAAAGTGGCTCTTTTCTGATGATAGAACTTTGTAAAAATCTGTAAAAAAAGAACAAATACCATGTCATTATCCTTTAGTTTTTATGTAGTGATACCTGCCCAAGTTGCACTCGGGATGTCAGTATATGAACACCAATATGTTCTGTAAATGTTTTTCTACGCGCGCGCACACACACACACACCCTTATCTTTCTATAGAATAATTAAATGTTTTAAGAAAAGGTTAGACCTTAGTACTATTACAAAGGGTGCCAAAAGGAAATTGATAGTTAAATACAAAGACACACTCAAGTAGCAACAGAGAATACTAATACTCCTCCCAACTGCCTCAAGCTAAATAAAACTTACAATAACGTCAGAGGTCACACGCCTACCTTGTTACATCACTACACATGGCAGCCCCATACAACCTTGAGTCCCGTCATCACTGCTGTTGAGTTTTTTCATTCTGTACTGGCGTATTTCTCTTACAAGTGTGTAAAATGCATCTTCCACACCCTATGAAAGAAGAAAGAATGCTTTCCTCTCAAAGACCAGCTCAACTGACACAACCCATATGGTTAAGTTTTCATTTGTATTTCTTTATATGGATTAAAAATTCTAATTACTGAAATGATAGTTGATAAAATAGGATGACTGAGCTATTGGGTGTGCTGGTGTCTGTTATCCCAGCACTTGGGGACTGAGGCAGGAGGCTCACTGTGAGTTTGAGGTCAGCCTGAGCTGCACAGTGAGTTCAAAGATAGCCTGAACTACACAGTGAGATCCTATCTCAAAATAAAAATAATAATACAAGGTGACTTAGAAAAAGGACAAAGTGGAGAGCTTCCAGCTACCCTGTGCTGGTGGGACCTATTACTGGTCCCAGCACAGGCGTGGCGTGGGTGAGACCCTCTTCCACCCTCTTGGGACACACCCCACCACTCTGCAGCACCACCCCCACCCCGCCCACCGTGTAGGATTTCTGCCGCGTTCCGGGAACCCCCAGACCCAGTCCTAGCCCAGGTCCTGTGAGTGTGTGGGACAGCTTCTGGCTACCCTGCGCCGGCGGGACCTACTACTGGTCCCAGCCCAGGCGCAGCGTGGGTGAGACCTTCTTCCAACCCCTTGGGATGCCTCCCACCACTCCACAGCACCTCCCCCACCCCGCCCTCCGAGTAGGAATTTCTGCCTAGTTCCAGGAACCCTCAGACCCAGTCCTAGCCCAGGTCCGGTGGTTGGTTGAGAGAGCTTCCTCTCCCCGCTACTCCACCTTGTCCCTACCAGGCTCAGCTCAGGCCTGGCATACAGGCCTGGGGTGAAACCCTGCAGCTGCAATCCCTGCAGAGAGTGTAGAGGATAGAACCACACAGCTAGTCCAGAAGAAGAAACTCTTGCCAGAGGGGCACAACAGGTTCACCCTCAAGGGCAGCAACAGGAAGGAGCTGAGCACAGCAGCCAGAACCAAGCCAGGCGCACAGCTGGATAAATCCAAACTTTGTAGATCTGCACCTGAACTTCACTATGTGCTAAGGTTATAACTACAATGAAGATCTACAACAAAGGTCAGAAGACAGTGCTACAGAAAATGACGAGAAGGAACAAAATGCAACCTCAGACCCCAAGCCCACCCGTAACAAGTGCAGGGGACACTAACACTGAACAAACTGGGAATCACACAATGAAAGCAATGAATCAACAGCTTCTGAAATAAAGAAACAGCTGCAGAAATGTATAGAGGAACTCAGATTGGAAATGAAAAAAGAAATCCCTGAATTAATAACATCTGCAGTAAAGAATCAAATGCCGAAACATATGGAGGAAACCCAATGCCCACCCAGGACAAATGCAGAGGACACTAGCTCGGCTCAAATGCATGAATTAAGAGCGTTGATAGTAAATAAGCAGCAGCAGAAAGTAATAGAGGAACTCAGAGCGCAATTCTTTTCTGAAATAAAAAAAGAATTCTCAGAACTCATAGCATCTGAAGTAAAGAAGCAACTAAAGAAACATAGGGAGGAAACCCAATCTGAAAAAAAAAACACTGCAGTAAAAGAATTTATAACTGCTTCTAAAGAAGACATTGATTAAAAAAAAATAGAGATTAGAAAAAAGATGGATTCCTTGAATGAGCAATACAGGAAAGAAATAGATTGCATAAAGCAGAGTCAAAGAGATACAGAGGAAATTAAAATCTCCATCACAAGCTTGCAAAACCGTTTAAGTGAAAGTGAAGACAGACTTTCAGATCTTAAAGATGCTGGAGCAGCTAGTGAAAAGGTAAGAAAGGATCTCTTAAAAACAAGGAGGATGGGCTGGGGAGATGGCTCAGTGGAATAAGCAC